CTCTCGCTATAGGTCCATGGTGGGAAGCCTTTTATATCTCACTCATACCCGCCCCGATTTGGCATACGTTGTTCATATAGTAAGTCAATTTATGACAGCGCCTCGTGACCTTCATTTGGTGGCGGTCCACCGCATTCTCGTTATCTTCAAGGTACTCGGGAGGTTGGCATCTTTTATCCTTCGCTTGGTTCGAAAACTTTACAGGCCTTCTCTGATTCTGACTTTGGCGGATGTGCTGATACTCGGCGTTCTACTACGGGGTGGTGTGTGCGCCTTGGTAGCTCGTTTCTCTCTTGGCGTTGTAAGAAGCAAGGTAAAGTTTCCAAGTCTTCCACTGAAGCTGAATTTCGCGTCATGTCTGATGTCAGCTCTGAACTCATTTGGTTACGATGTTTGTTAGCTGTTTTTGGTGTGATCTGCTCGTGGCCTTTAGAACTTTATGTCGACAACACTAGTGCTATCCAGATTGCTGCTAATCCTGTTCTTCACGATCGCACAAAGCACATCGAAGTTCATATCCACTACGTTCGTGACTTGGTCACTTCCGGTGATGTCTGTCTACACTATGTTCCTATCGATGAACAGCCTGCGGACCTCTTCACCGCTGCGCGTCATTGGTATCTCTCTAGCAAATTGATGCTCCGGAGCCTGCATCAATTTGGGGAAGGCTGTTGAGTGTTATGGATTTAGCATATTTTGTGCAGCATATTCGGATGCTTATCTTTCTAGTACAGCTTACGAAGCTATTGTATCCTAGTTGGAGTTTGTTTGTAGAGTTCTGTTATGACTCTTAGTAGCTTAGCTTGAGCAGCTAGCTTAGTCCTACCCGTAGTGTAACTTGAGGAAGGGGTATGAGTATTAGTATATATATATGTGTACCGAGGGACAATGGGGGATCATCGAAATATATCTGCAGCCTTTGTTCTCCCGTGGATTAAGCCAAGCTACCATATCAAGTTTGGCTGAACCACGTAAATAGCTTGTTGTGTGATTGCTTGTTTCCTTATTCCGTTTGCTTGTGCTGCATATTTATCATCGTCCCTAATCTGACCTTGTAGACAAACTGGCTCGTCCTAACCCTTAGAGATGGGACGGGTCAGTGGGTCTTCCGGGTCAAGCTTTCACCCCTAATGAGCAACCAAGTTATTAATCCGGTGATAAGCATGTGTTTACATTGTTTGGTTGTACATCTCACAATTTACTATTGTTGGTTGCCCGAGATGAATACTTTGTTCATAATAAAAAGTGAATGGAGTCAAGGTCAACGATTAAGAATTGCATAATGCTACCTACAACAATATAAGCACGTGCTTATACCAAGCCGATAAGTAAGCATCTTAGCCTAAATTGAATTTTTTTTTATGGATCAGATTATGTTATATCATAAAAAAAGGATTGTTGGCAACCGATCATTGCCGGCGGAAGAATCGTAGACGTCGAGAATCTGCCTAAGTTTTTTAAGGGATTGAGATAGAGAAACTAGAGGAAAGAGACATTGTTTGAGGTTTTTTTTGTTTATCCATTGACTGATTATGAACTGAACGACAAAGTATATATATATATATATATATGGTTATGTCTTCGGTGCACTCACTTTTTTGGGTGCATTCAATGCACCCGCCTCATAATCGTCATTTTGAGCAGGCGATTCATGTGAAAACGATGTCAATCATCACCTGTGGTATGATGAACAAGAACCACATGAATTTGTACAAAAATCACACAAGATTCACTTTAATTTGAATGATTCAGGGTTTAGGAATTTAGGGTTAGGGTTTGCAATTTGAGATTTTGGGTTGAGATTCAAAATTGAAGGTTAATAGGTTAGGGTAATTGGTTGATTAGTTGAGATTCTATGTTATATCATCATATTAGACTAATAAAACCCATTAAATTTCAAAATTTAATGTATTATGACCACTTTTAGAGGTGGGTACACTGAATGCACCCAAAAAAATGAGTGCACCGAAATAGCCACCATATATATATATATATATAACGAAACACAAACCCTAAACCTAATGACTAACCCTAAACTACTCGGCCAAGTAGTGGCCGCCAACTCCAATTCCTAGCTAATCCTAACCTAACCAACTCAAAGAATACCATAATTATCTCCTAAATCTACTACTAATATAATAATAACTATTAATAATAATAACTTATAATATTAATTAGCCCTGCCGGAAGTATGAATGCAGCAGCAACAACCCTAGCCAACTAAAAGGTATACATATGTAATAGAAATACTATTAACCAAACAAGTAGGAAAGATTACCAAAAGTTTTCCCTAACTTGATCCACAAGTAGCACACTAACTTCATTCTTGATTACCCTAACTTGTACATTTACAAATGATTCATAATCCAGAAGCAGTAGCCAACCAAATGTCATACTACCGATAAAATGACATGTTTTCCACTTCGACAACCCTGTTAAACCTATAAAGTTATAATAAATACGAATAAACTAGTTATACTTTTTTTTTATGATTACTCGATATTTTTTTGGTAGAAATGATTACTCAATTTTACTAAGGTTAAACATAATAAAAAAATCCCATACAAATAACAGAAACTTGTCATGCCATTCTGGGCTCATGTGGTCCTACCCAAAGGGTCTGCATCACTGCATTTCCACCTGCAGCTGTTCTGTAAGAATAGCCCAACCCGTGTGATGTCGGATAATCATGGGCCAGTGAGCTCCGTTAAGAGAAATGTGGCCGACCTCTGGAGCCCATCATGACTGACAATTCTAGCTGGAGGCTGGCCTGCATGCACGTTTGTGCCCAACTTGGCCAGAGTGTGCGGATTAACTTGTGGGTTGTGGTCATCTTGTTCCTTTAAGATTACACATGTTTTTCATCGGCGATTCGATGTTGTGTATCTGGATTATGTATGATATTCGGTGGCTCTCCGAGTCTAGAGTAGTTTTGAATGAAAGGTAAGATGCGATTGCATCCATTTGATAAAAAAAAAAAAAAGATGTGTTTAGCGAGTGATAATATCTAGTAGTGTACATGTATTGGGTGGTTCGGGTTGGTCATTTTAAACACCCGATCCATATACTACGATTTTGAAAATAACAATTCCAAACCTACACAAAATTTAGAATCCTACGGTTTGTTTATAGTTGGGTCGGTTTGGAAATAATTTTAATTAAAAATCCCTCCCAACATACACACAAAAAAGACAACTATTCTACAAAATATTATATAACCGGTTAAATTTTTGAGCAAATAAATTGAAATGAAAAGTATTAGAATGCAGAAATGGTATTTGTATTTTCATGAAGTACAATTTGCTTCAAGGTAATTCCTGTTTTTCCCACAAACATTTGTGGATTTTTTCCTAGAAATAGCACTATTTTTTTTTTAAAAGTAGCATCCAGCCCCAAAAAATTTTAAAAATAGCACCATTTCCCAAAAACCACCATCCCAGCCAGCGGTGTACACGAAAATTGCAGGGTGGGAGCGTCGAGCGCGGTTTTCAATGAAAACCGCACGGGAAGGGGGTGGTTGTCATGACTTCAAGGGGTCGGACCAGTTTGGTCCGAAACCGCTGCCCTCTGCTGTTTGGTTAAATTTTTTTTTCTTTTTTCGATCATTTCTAACTTAGGTGGAAACTTCAAACGAATGTATCTTTGTGCTCGAGTATCTGATAGTAGCGAAATTATTTTATTCCGCATAATTTTCCGAGATCTTGCAAGTCGCAAACAGCCGTAGGCGGTTTGGTCCCGCCTTCGTCCCGAAAAACGTCTTTTGCTACCCTGAACGAGCCTTTTCCGATTTCGTCAAACTTTGTCCGGCCATAACTTTGTGCTCCACACTCCGAACGTCATGAATTCTTTTTTTATCTAGAGTAACTTTTTAAGAACTAAAACTTTTACAAGGACGTAATTTTCAAAACAGGAATTATTTTTAGATATACAGGGTTTTTGGATATACGTCCGAGTAAAAGTTGTAGTTCTTACAAATTAAGTGAAATGAAAAAAATTCATGACGTTCGGAGTGCGGAGCACAAAGTTATGGCCGCCCAAATTTTGGCGAAATCGGAAAAAGGCTCATTCGAGGTAGCAAACGACATTTTTTTCCGAGACAAAGGCGGGACCAAACCGTTTATGGCTGTTTGTGGCTTGCAAGATCTCGGAAAGTTATGCGGAATCAAAAAATATTTCGCTACGATCGGATACCCGAGCACAAAGATACATTCAATTTAAGTTTCCGCCTAGGTTAGAATTGATCGGAAAAAAAATGACCAAACAGTAGGGAGGGGCAGCGGTTTGGGACCAAACCGGTTTGACCCTAGGCGTTCATGAAAACCGCCCCCTACTCCTGCGGTTTTCATTGAAAACCGCGCCCCCACCCTACGATTTTTTAGAAAGGATGCTATTTTTGGAATTTTTGAGGTTGAGTGCTATTTTTGTAATTTATTTTTAAACAGTGTTATTTTTGGGGAAAAATTCAACATTTGTCGAAATAAACTAAAATGGTTATAAGTGAATGCATTCATAATATATTATTTTTTTAAAATTGTACACACAAAAAATTATGTGACTTGTAGCCTATATTAAATATACGTATAAACTTTAAGTAGAAAAATGTATTAGACTAGAGAAACCAGAAGAGAAAATTATGATAAAAATTATGTGATGAGACAATTTGGCAGCACAAAATCAAAATGAGGCATTTTGGATTTGGGTAATTGCAATTGATCCATTAGGGTTCAATTTAAAATACCTGTGGTGGGGGTAGGAAATCACAAATGATTCATTTTTCTGTGGCCCCTTCCAATTATATCCTTCCTTTCCTTTTTCTTTCTCTCTGCCCCACCGCACCCTTCTTTTCCACTTCTTGTCTTTCATGTTGACTACCATCATTTTCTCTTCTCTTCTTTCTTCTCTCTATCTTCTGATATGTTCTTCAATGGGGACCAGTGGAAATAAGGTGGCATAACTCACAATTGAAGACTTCTGATCATGGTTTTTTGTGTGTTTTGATTTCAATTTCTCGGGGTTATTCTCGCCGCGAGAAGAGAATGGGTGGAGAATTTGTCGCCAACAATGAAGTCCGATGGCACCGGCGATGGAGACGTTGTCGGCAGTTTGATTTGGACATTGCCTACGACGCCGCCTCCATTGATGATGGGTCCAGATCTGGAGATTTGTACATGCCGTAAGTGCAATGTGTAAGGAGACAGTGGCGGGGTGGCAACGAACCGGTGACGGCGAGCCAGCAGCGGGGGAAAAGATGGAGTTGCGGAAGAGGCTATCGCCGGCGAAAGTCTCCAACGTCTACAGCAGTGGCGATGACAAGGGGGCAGCATCCTGAATCGCTGTTCTGGGGTTTTTTTTTTTTTGCCATAGATAGATCGTAATAGACAGGGTATTACAAAGCAGAGGAAATAAAAGAACGGTAGTCGACCAACTGGGTCGCTACCGATGCAAGGGCCGTTTGTGCCACGCGATGGGCAGCCCTGTTAGTCCTACGAGAAGCAAATACAAAAGTAATAAAAGCAAATGAAGATTTCATCCTCCGCACTTCCTCCAGCACCGCTCCACCGCGATCATGGTTGACATCATTCTCCAACGCACGCCGAATGACCAGTTGGGAATCACCACAGAAACACACAGCAGAAAAACCCCGATTAATAGTCCATTCCATTGCATCTCTCAATGCCAGCAACTCCATTAAAAAAGGATCATAGATGCCCTCATAATACTTACCGTATGCGCAAACCAGAGATTGGCTGCTATCGAGGCCAACGAAGCCGATGCTGCCTCCCACCGATCGCTTCGTAGCTCCATCAAATCGGACCAGCAGCCCACCCGGCGGACAGAACGCCTCAGGTACCGGCTGTCTGAAACGGCTTGGACGCGGAACAGAATCCCGTGGCAATGCAGAAGCCTCCCGCCATTCCTCGACTTGACGGTTGAACTGACGAAAGAGAGGGCCTGGAAGATACTGAATTTTATCATAAATTGACCAACACCTACCTTTCCATATGCGCCAGACGAGGAAGATCACATCAGCGATTTCGGCACGGGAGAGATGCATAGAGAAGAACAGGGAGTGCCAAGCCACTGTATTCTCCACAGCCGCCATAGACACTCGAATTGTTTCCTTCCCCGCAAGTGCCCATAGTGCACGGCTGATCCTGCACTCAAAGAAACAGTGAGACCTCTGTTTTAAATAGGCACAACCTCTGTTTTAATTTTTTAGTAGAGATTTGGAACGTAAGCGATAGATTTGAAATTCAAAGAAGAAACTTTATCTAAACCTTGATTTTTGCTCGATTGAGAACAATATATTGTCTATTCTTCTGTTTGAACGATTCTAGCTTGGCTTACCGGCGACCATGGATTTGGGTCAGCATCTTTGTTGGTCTGTAATATTTTTTTACATTTTTTATTACAAAGAGTACAAAAGGAACATGAAGAAGGAGCGTAAAATTTGAGGGCAAATGCGTATTTTACATGAATACCTCATTCTAATTGCCTCATCTCAAATCACAAACCAAACGAGATAATTTGGGATGAATCTCTCATACAATTGTCTCACTTTCAAAAATGAGACATTTACTCCAAATTACCTTATTTCACAATTGTTCCATCCAAACAACCCCTTAATTTTCTTACAAATATACTCATATACGATACAAATATGTTTTGGATACAAACATTTGTGACAATAGTTGGATACGGGTTATGTCAGATTCTACGAGTTGCATAATCCAAAATCCAGACCCAACCCAATAGAGGTGGTTTGTACAAAATAAAACCTTCACCCAACGTTAAAACTTAATTTTATCGATAAATACAGGTGGGTTGGATCGGGTTGGATATGTGGGTCGATTTACGGGTTGTTTTGTTCACCCCTAATAATATCATTACATTGCTTCTCTTCTTGATTTTTTGCCTTCGGATAGAATGATGTCATTTTTGTCAACAACAACAATATGAAACATATAGTTCATTGAAAGCAAATAAACAAAACAACGACTCACTAATATAAATATACGGGGAATACGGGAAAGTGCGTGAAAACCTCGACATGCTGAGATTGTTAAAGGAAAGTTCTTTTCCCTAGGCTAGTTTCACTAAATCTGTTGACCTGGTTAAACAAGGATGCGGTTGGAATATTCATAAAGGTAACCATAATAAGTTCTGGACTGATGTTTGGATCTCGCAGGAACCTCTACAAGAATTAGCTATGGGACAAATCCAAAAGGAGGAATTGGAGGCCACTGTTGCAGACTTCCTGGATGAGGATGGGGTTTGGAGGACCAATAAGTTCATTTCCCTTCTTTCCGTAGACGTGCATCATCAGATCACAGCAACGACGGTGGATCCCCTATCGATAGAGAACGACGCTCTCTTTTGGAAGCCATCTACAGACGGGAAATTCTCGACAAGACGACCTACCAACTGTTGCTTCCTCCTTCAAGCAACCAGAACCAGCCTTTGTGGGGAAAAATCTGGAAGTTACCAATCCCGGAAAGAGTCAGATCTTTCATTTGGCTAGTTGCTCAAAGGAGGATTAATTGTGATGAACAGAGGGTGGCAAGGCATGTGGCTCAAGACCCCAGCTGCTACATGTGTGCTTAGGGACTGCCCCCAGCTCCGTTCTTGTGGATGCGGATAGTTCAAGCTGATCGACAACATGACTTTTTCAGCCTTCCTTATGACATTTGGCTGCGGAAGAACCTGGATTGTGAAGATAAGACTATGGAAGAGGTCATGTGGAGTGTTTTTTTCAGCATACCCTTTGGGACCTCTAGGAAAATAGAAACGAGGGAAATTTTGGAGGGGTCTCAAGAACCCTCTCCCCTCCTTTCTCGTTGAGGCTATCAAGATCAAGAAATCTCTTTGGTTTAAAGCTTAGACAACTTCAATTGCTATCCTAGGGCGTCGTCTTTGCCCTCCCCAACGTACCATGGCAGCCATTGGGTGGAACCCGCCGCCTGCAGGATGGATAAAGATGAATGTAGATGGCGCAGCCGGCAGAGAATAGGGACTTGCGAGTGCAGGCGGTGCCTTACGAGATGCTGACAGGAAATGGATTAGAGGTTTCGTATCAAGCTTGGGGACATGTACAACCACTATGGCTGATTTATTGGCAATTTATCACGGGTTAGGAATGGCTTGGAATCTAGGCTGCAGAGTTCTTATACTAGAGTCGGATTCCCAAACGACAATTCAACTAGTGAAGAACAGGCTGGATAATCTCCACCCTTATGTCACTCTTCTCTCGACTATCAGGCGCAAAATCTCTCAGGACTGAGTGGTAAATCTAACTCATACTTACCCGGAAGGGAATAGAGTCGCAAACTGGCTCTCGAAGCACAGTCTCGTTTATCCCGACGGTAAGTACAAGTTGGAGGCTCCACCTGATGGATTACTCTCGATTTTGCAGGATGATACTAAAGGAGCTACTATGAACAGGAGTATTGTCACTCCCTTAGCTTCCCCCTCTTCCCAATCTCTCAACTCTCCCACGTATCCCTTCCCCCTCTGTTTGATTTGGCCTTGCGCCTCCCTTTGAATGCAAGAAAAAAAATACTTTTGATTAAACTATTCAACATAATAACTTGGTTGGTATAAATGTTATGGTAAAAAAATAATATGGTAAAAACTGAATTTGTATCTTTAACATTATGATACAAATTCTGATTTTATCTCGAAGCATCAATATTTTAGAGTACGAAAGAAGAACTATCTATAACCCAAAATATTTTATATATGCAAATCATGGGTGTAAATACTATGTTTGTAAAATCGGAAAATTGCAGAAATAAAATGACACAAGGAATTACGTGGTTTCCCGGCAAGTAACCGGGACTACTCCATGGAGAGCATAGCTCTCGGTTCAGAAGCTTCACTTTGATGGTGCGGCCGCCACTACAACTTGTATTCTTAGGGTTTACAAGAGGAAGACAAACCTACTTATACCCTATCACGAAATACACGGGTACAACCCTTAAAATAACTAAGTGCAAATAAGAAACTTAACAAATACGTATTGGACAAATAGGCGCAATACGATCCAATACTCCCCCTTAAGCCGGAGATGAAGCTCACAAATTCCAAGCTTGGACAACAAGGCATGAAGCTTTCCGTTCCTAGAGCTTTAGTGAAGATGTGAGTGACCTGGGAGCGCGTGTCCACCTTTCGCGACTGAATTTCACCAGAAGTCACATGCTCACGAATGAAGTAGCAATCCATCTCCACATGTTTAGTACGCTCGTGAAAGACTGGGTTAGCAACAATGTGAAGTTCTGCCTTATTATCGCAGTAGAGAACAGTAGGGGTACACTGAGGGACTTGCAACTCCCTGAGAAGAAACCAAAGCCATAAAACTTCACTGGTAGCACTAGCCATGGCGCGATATTCAGCTTCTGTAGACGAACAAGTGACTCGCTATGATACAACTCCTTACAATGGCCAAGTGTAACCAATAAAATGGAGTGCAGTATAGTGACACAAGTAATAAATATTGAATCCACGGGTCTCTAGAGTTACTATTACTCAGCTTCAGTTCATTATCTAGCAAACTAGATTAAGGATTGATTTATTAAACTGCTCTATTAATTACAGGTTGGGAACTCACTTAGGTATGATTCCCCTAGGTGTAATTCCTTTTGGTTGTTTTACTGTTGATTAAACTGCGAAAGATCCTAAATTAGCTTAGAATCTCTTAAGCTGACCAAGCCCTCTTAGACAGAATACCCGGCAAGCGACTAGCCTTCACCAGGATAGACTGCTAAGGCGATTCACACATATCTCCACTACTGGAATGAATTCCAGTACAAAGTAGTGAATTGACTTACTCTCGCACAACCAATTCACTACTATCAATCAAGGAAGCTCTCTTAACCTAATCAGATTCTATCTATCATAGGTTAAAGCAGAAATCAAGAGAATTTGATCAGGATTCAATTGACTCAATAAATCATGCCTCAATTGATTATAATCACACAATATAGCTTCCAAAACTTCATACAAGAAAGATTCTAACACATGGAACTAGGGTTCCTCAAAACCTAAGTGAAGGAAAGTTACTCCCACTACAACAAATTCGGCCCATTAGGACAAAAAAAATTATTTTGTCATTTTCTGTTTGTCACAATAGGTTCGATGATATGACAAACATAATATATGTCATATTTGGTATGCCTAATGTGACTAAATAAATGTTTTCAAAATAAGTCGTCATTTAAAGTGAGTAATGTGACAAATAAGTCGTCTCACAATTAATTTTGTCAAAATAGGCATCCCATATCGGGATATGCGAGACACAAAAGTGACAAATTATATAGCCAAAGTAGCTTTTGTCGTATTATCCATTTCTGAATTGCTTAAATGACAAAGTATTTTGTCACTATAGATAACAATAATCCCACGGCGAGCTGACAACATGACATGTTCGTCATAATATAGTGTTTTCGGATTTGACAAAAGGCATGTTCCTCATAATATAGTGGCTTCATTTTTGACAAAACGCATTTTCGTCAGATTTTCTTGTGTTAGATTGAAACCAATTGGCCCGGACGACACATTTTATCCCCATCGAAATTTCAGTTTCGCCCAATTTTTTAACTATCCACTTTTCAATCCCTCCCAATTTTCAGCTCGCCCAAAACTTGAAATTCCCTCTCCCCCAACCAAATTTTCATTTACCACCCCACTCCTTTTCATCCTCTTCTCTTCTTTTCATTTACCCTAGGACCCCAGTCGACGTTTCCAGACCGATCTCACTCCTTCCCCCTTTTAATATCTTTTCTTCGCCTCTTAAAAAAAATTCTTTCCTTCTCTCTACCTTGGCTCTGCTCGTCCTACAGCGACTAGAGCAATGGCCAGCGATGAGTGACGGGCGAGAGGGCAGAGCAGGGCACATCGGTAGGGATGGAGGCGACGACAAAGCGGTGGGAGGACGATGAGGCGGTGAGATCGACTGGCCGCCACGGTTGCTAATGGCGACAACAGTGGTGATGCAGATCTGTCTTTCTGGAGGCAAGAGCAGAGGACAGCGGCATCGGCGGGCATCTCGGATTTGAGCACCCTATGATGTGAGAAGCCAAAGAACAGGAGAATCTCGCCGACCTAGAGTTGAAGGTACCGGAGGTGGGCGATGTCCGGTGAGGTTTGGCGACTGGCGATGAGACGACGGTTGGTTTTGCGGCGGCAGCTTAGAGTTATGAATATCACCGTCTCTTTGCTTCTCCAGCCGATTGATGGCAAAAATCAGAAGGTAAGAATGCAGATCGACTCTACTAGCGGTTGTGGTGGTGATTGAGCTGTAAGACTGTTATCTTTGTTCTATGTTCTTGATATGTACATTTTCTTCTTGCTTCTATTATGTTTGTTTTTCAGCTTGTCATGGCCAGAATTCGCAGGTAAAACAAATCTTGTTTCTGGGTTTTGTTCGGTTTGATTGCCTTGGAAAAGGGTTGAGGAAAAAAGAGTTGTTAGATTAAGAAAGCCTGTTCATTTTTTTTTCTTTTTCTGGCAATAGTTGCTGATGAATGATGTGGACTTGCTTTCTGCATGTTTAGTTGGGAGAGAATCAAATCTTTCCCTTCTTAATTTTTTCATGGAGAGAATTGTTTTATATGTGAGTATTTGTTTGGGTAGGGTGGTTTAGACATGGTTTACGATTATCAAATATGTGTTGAGGAAGGAATTTTTCTATGGAGCCAATCAGGGTCTAAGCTGTAAGCTCAATTTCTTCTTATTCTTTTTGTTGTAGAGTCCCGATAGAAGGTGATAAAGAAATGGCTGATAATGGAAGAGTTTATCCGGAGTGTGTTTATGCTGGCAATCCCTATCATCAATGTGGAGTATCTTGCCTGCAGAAGATCGCTCAGGGAATAACTCGAAAGTCTATGAGCAAGAAGAAGTTAGGTAGCTTTTTTCCATAGTTCTTTCTAAAGCATTTTTTTTTTTGTGTTCATGCAGTCTAAGTATCTGAAGCATATGGCTTCTATGACTTCTTATAATATTCATACCACCCATCATCAAGGAACCATATTGGTTTATCTCACTATTTTCAAGATGTTTTGATTTTGGGGAAGTTTCTAACTGTTTCTTTTCCCCCTTTATTCAATCTCTTCCCTTCATTCTAGTTAGTCCAAGAAGTGTCAAACAAGTTCGGCATATCATAAAGCCTGATGGAGAAAAAAGAGTTGCAAATCCAAATTGTCCAAAAGCTACCTATCCTTACCATGAATGTGGCAAATATTGTACTCATAATCCTGCTGATGCAAACTTTCTCGACACTGATAAAGATGAAGGTTTTTGTTTCTCCTCTTCCTCAGAATGTTGATTCTTGTTCTGCTTTAATCTTGTCAAAGCTTAGAAATGGATCCTTCTGAAATCGAAAGTTATGCTGGGGAAAGAGTTCACTTAGTTCTTCAATTTCTTGAGGAGGGTGCATGGGGAAATTTTTTGTGTTCTTGGAAAAGATCTAAGGTGTCTTGTGCTCCTTATATCTTCTTGACTTTGCTTTTGTTAATGCAGGGTCCTTCCTTCTTGGTGCCAGGATGTAAGTTTGCAACTTTTTATCCTTCACTGGTTCTTTCTCACCGTAGTTCGTTGTGGTTAGTTGATAATGGATGTCACTCGATCATGGGCAGTATAAATGAGATCAATAGAGGGAACTTTTGCTGACGATCTGAATTCCTCCCCTACAAAGATTCATTGTTGAGGATCTTCACTCTAAAGCCCGACAATGTAGTCCATTTGGATAGAAGCGAAGGCAGAAGGGAAGCTTGTATCATGCCGTGAGATTGTTTAAAAGTTCCTAAAGAAAAAGGTGAAGTATGGACCGAAGTAGAACCCAAGATCCGCAAAGGAGTTAGAATGTTTTATGTCATGGTGGACAACTTAGAATATTTGGTTATGCTGAACAAGGAGTTAGAACTGCTATGGAAATGATTTTGATGTTATGGATCTTTGGTAATCTTCCCATTATCAGGTTGCAATGGAGGAAACAATTTTGAATTATGAAAATTTTGAGCAGGTAAAATGTGGCAACAATGTCATGTCATCACATTATATACATTGCCTGACAAATTGTTCTCCTGTCATATAAGACGTGAGACAAATAAACCACCTTTACTGACAAAATGTAGTTGTCATAATATACAATTATGACAAAATTTAGTTGTCATAATATGATGAACAATTCTCCCAAAATTTACCTGATTATGACAACCGTAATGACAAAATATGTCGTCATAGAATCTCTGTTTGTCACAATAAACTACCCAGAACCTTAGTTATACTGAAAGCAAATGTGACAACCTTGTTTTAAATTTTTGTCACATTTGGCCTATCCTGACGGCGATAAAATGACAAACCTTTGTGACAACACCTTTTGTCATATTATACCTAATATGACAAAATGGGTATCTAATATGACAAAATTGCCGCATCATAATAGATTGAATTTGTTGTAGTGTCCATAGAGAAGAGAGAGACTGCAGAAATCTGATCTAAATCTTGAATCTCCATCTTCAAGCTTGATTCTTGAGCTTGATCTAAATCCTCCAAAATAGCTCCAAGAATGTTCCCAAGTCGCTCTCTCTCTCGGGTTCCTCCCTTGGGTGTTTGGGATCCAAAACCCAGCTCTCGCTCTCCAAAAATAAAAAAACAGCCTTTATACCCGAAGCTGGAATTTCGAACCACTAGTATGCACGGTCGTGCAACTTCCTTGTCTGCCCGTGCAACACAAAACGCAGCGTCTGAATTAGTTCCGCAAGGGGAGTGCACAGCCAACGCACAGCCCGTGCAATCCAAGAGGCTGACTGTGCATCTTCTCACAGAATTCATCACGGCAAGAAAATAAGTCGTGTAGCGTATTCCCAGACTGGTCGTGCAACTTCATCAGCTCTTCATCTCTCGTACCGTCTTCGCCCAATCGACCTCGAACTCGTGCTCAAAACTTCATTCATGCATTAGGATCTGAAATGTCATAAACAAGAACAACCAAGCGTAAAATCGGCTTAAAATCCAAGATCCGAGCCTCAAACAGTATAAGAATGGTGGACAAAAACATGTGTAAATATCCAGTCATCAACAAGCAACAACATGTTCCTTCTTAGCACACCAGGAGACCGGAGAACCCAACTAAATATAATAACATGTCATGGATCGGCAAGTGGGCTGACAACCACCCCAATCCGCATCACAATAAGCAGTTAGCTCCAAACTACCTGTAGACGGTAGAAACAATCCTTGCCCCGATGCACTTTTGAGATAACGAAGGACACGATGGGCGGCGGCTACATGGTTCGGGCTTGGAGCGTGGACAAACTGACTGAAGACATTGACAGAGTAGGCAATGTCGGTCCGAGTGATAGTCAAGTACAACAGGCGCCCAACAAGGCGACGATAAGAGCCCACATCATCAGCATGGTCTGCAGAAGGACGTGTCAACGTATGATTCTGCTCTATAGGAAACCCACTAGGATGAGCTGCTCCAAGACCGGAGTCTGCCAAAATGTCGAGAGTATATTTACGTTGACAAAGACTGATACCCTCCGGCAACCGTGCAACTTCAATACCCATAAAGTACTTGAGAGTCCCTAAGTCCTTGATGTTGAATTGATCATGGAGATAAACCTTCATGCGGGCAATAGTCGCGACATCATTACTAGTCAAAACCACGTCATTGACGTAGATCAAAGCCATAACGAACACCCTGGCTACCTCATAAATGAAGAGAGAGTGGCCTGCCTTTGAAACCATAAACCCGAATTCGACCAAAAACTCGATGAACTTGGTGTACCAATTCTTGGAGGCCTTTCGAATTCCATAGAGGGATTTCCGAAGGCAACATGCACGCTGATCTCCATCTTTAGCAAACCGCTACGGCACACACATATAAACTTCTTCCTCTAAGTCACCATGAAGGAAAGCATTATTAACGTCGATTTGATGCAGTGGCCAGCCTTTCTGAGCAGTGACGGCTAACAAAATTCTGACTATAATCAGCTTAGCGACGGAGGCGAACGTGTCATGGAAGTCATTCCCCTCAAGTTGTGTAAACCATTTGTCGATTAACTGGGTTTTGTAGCGCTCCACCGTACCATCGGGCTTGAACTTAATCTTGTATACCCACTTAGCATTAATAACTCACTTGCAAGGCGGTAGCAGCTCCATAGTCCACGTGTCATTTCCTTCAAGGGTGGCGATCTCTTTCTGCATAGCGTCGCGCCAACACTCATAATTGACAGCCTAAAAAAAGTGGCGAGGCTCGACAAGGGAGGACATGGTAGCCAAGAAATCATAGTAGTTAGCTTAGAAGCGATGATAATTCACGTAGTGGGAAAGAGGAAACCGAACCTGATAAGAAGAAGGGTTGTCGAACTCTACCTCATAAACGTCGAGCTGGGAAGGAGGCCTGCGGTTCCCTGTTGGATAGCGACGTGGTAAGGCAGGGGGTTGAGATGGCCAGGGTCAAATTGTTCCGCATCCAACTCGCAAGTAACAGAAGCATCCGAAGAGTGAGAACTCAATGAACTGGGAGAGCTATGGATGGCGGTGAGCAAGGGACCAGTCGGTGCCGATGAGTTGCTAGCTTCCACAAGAGATTAGGAAGTTGTGGAGCGGGGCGAAGACGCCAAGTCGTCAGCGCAAGAAGAGCTCAAGTAATCCAGCGGGTAGTCATCAGCCTCGGGTGCGATGTCCCCACGACGTGAATTAGGCACTTGATGCATAGGGAATTCATGCACGCCGAGGAAGGTCGGCCGACCAGGTGAAACAGGAGGGGAAACTCCAGGTGACATGCTATGCTGGCAAAAAGGAAAATATCTTCAACAAAGTGCACATCGCGCGAAACGAGGACTTTGCTTTTCTTCAAATCGAAGATACGATAGCCTTTCTGTGTGCCTGGATACCCAATAAAGATTCTAGCTCTCCCCCTGTCGGCAAAATTTATCGAGGCCATGATGTGTGTCTTTAGCATACACAAGACACCCGAAGCTCCGAAGATGGGAGTAAGTCGGTGGACGACCCAAAAGTAGCTCGAAAGGCATTTTCATGGAGATAACTGAGGATGGAATGCGGTTGATCAGGTATGTTGCAGTACGGACGCACTCACCCCAGAAACGATCGAGAAGACCAGCATGGTACATAAGAGCTCTCGTAGTCTCCAAGAGATGTTGATGCTTACGCTCAACAACGTTGTTTTGTTGCGGAGTATCCGTGCAAGAAGTCTGGAGGATCATGCCCTTGTCTTCGTAATATTGACGAATGGAATTTGTTTGGAATTCCAGTCCATTGTCAGCTTGGAAACGACAGACAAGGCGATTATACCAAGTAGAAGCCATCTCACAAAATAGCCTGAGGTAACGCTCCACATCTGACTTAAACCGCATCAAATAAATCCACGTCGCACGACTAAAATCATCAACGACAGTGAGAAAAATAACGAGACCCATCAAGAGACGAAGTGCTACACGACCCCCATATGTCAACATGAATGAGATGAAAACCAGTAATTTTATTGAGCTATGAGGAAACGGAGTGTGAGATTGTTTAGCATGCAAACAAGAGTCACAATGAGAAGTTGGCCGAGAACCAAAATCACAACCCACAAAATCCTTTAACAATGCTAATCGATCAAAAGAAGGATGGCCCATACGAGCATGTCGCAAGTCCAATGCATCACCGCGACCAACCACCTTGCACACCTGAGGGAGCGGCTGCTGGGGAACTCGCTGGAAGTAGTAAAGTCCATCCTGCAATCTACCAACGCCAATCAGCATCCTGGGAGGTAAGGCCTGAATCACGCAAAAATCATGCAAGAATGTTCCTGCCACGTTATGGTCCTTGGTTAAATGACTCACGGATAGCATGCTACACTTCAAATAAGGCAATGTAACATTCGACTAAGGTTAAGTGAGGGTGAGTGGGTGACAACTTCACCGAACCAATCCCTCTAACCGGAATTCGTGTCCCATCCGGTATCTAAACGTTTGAGAAGGTAGTACTATCAATAGAGTGTAACCAACGAGCATCCTTAACAATATGCTTATTACAGCCTGAATCAATTGGCCAGTCATAAAGATCAGAAGGATTACCCGCCATATGTGTCGTTGGTCAAGAAGCCGCATCAGGGGAAGAACTGGAGAGAAATTGCTTGAGTTGAGCGAGCTAGGCAATAGTCAAGAAGAAGACAAACCTACTTATACCCTATCACCAAATACACGGGTACAACCCTTAAAATAATTAAGTGCAAATAAGCAACTTAACAAATATGCATTGGACAAATAGGCCCAATAATGTTTCTTTTATTATGTAAATATTGATATATGGATAACCATTGTCATTACCACATTAGATGCTTGCTTGGGAGTTACATGTAACCCCTATTCCTACAATTAAAATCTTCTTTATGTTTCATTCATATGCATTGATATAAGGATGTAGTGGTTACCAAGGTGTGCCTATAAATAGAGCATACCATTGTATCAAAAGTGAATAACGAATAAGAAGAACTATTCCCCTCTTTTCTCTTGTGTCTTTCCCTTTCTAATCTTCCTTTGTAGTTGTTTATATTTCTCATTAGTTTCATAACACGTTATCAGCACGAAGCTCTGCTAGCATCATGGTTGGTCATTGTTTCTCTACATAATCTAGTATATTGGAGTAAGATCACAATATGACCAGGGTATGCAAATCTTCATCTTCTTTTAAATCTTATTGTCTTATTTGTGTTGAGATTATCTCGTTCCAATATATCAAGATGGATGCTACTCTTCTCTCGTAGTAGACCATTTATTGATATTTTATCACGTACATCTATTTGTATTAAAATTTTGGGTTGTGAGATTTGA